AAGTCAGAGTGCATCTGCCCGAGTGGCATGAAAAAACCAACTGCACACATATATAAACCAGTAAAATGGATGTACACGTAAAACTCAGGCCCTGGCACAAAGCCAAAGTCCAATTGGATGAACAGCCAGAACTTTTAAGAGCTTCCGGTGAACAAAAAAAAAAGAAGAGTAGCATATTTTTTACTAGTGGGGCATTTACCTATGTGTTTTGAAAAGTTCAGATTTAGAAGAGAAGATGTTTCAGTTGAGTTACACAAATTACATAGGATCTTGTTACATGGTACAAGGGGAAGTCAATAAGTAAGTCACAAATGGTTGTTTAAAAAAAAAAAAAAAAAAGACACTAAAGAGGATAACAGCTTGAAAACAGTTTATTTTTACACATACATTATCCCTTTATTGTTCATCATAATTTCCACCAACATTGATGCACTTGTCCCAATGTTTTATCCCAGACCTGCTGCATAGAACTTCACATTCAACTTCTGCATGGTTCGCGAGATGTCTCCCGCCAAGGACCAAAAAAGTGGAAATCACTAGAGGTTAAGTCGGGGCTGTAGGGTGGATGTTCCAGAAGTTCCCACCCTTGATAGTTAATTGAGTCGTATGTGGTCTGGCATTGTCATGAAGGAGCAGTACTATTCTAGTCAGCAGGCCCGAAAATTGTCTTTAAATTGCATTATGAAGCATCGATAGAACTTTACAAGATGAATCAGCCTTCACATTGTCACCCCCCTCCCCCCCCCCCCCTTTCCTGTTTTTTTTTAAATTGTTGAAAGCACTCCTTGATAATCCAAGAATACTGTCAGCATAACCTTTCCTGCTGAGAGCGTAACCTTGATTTGTGAACACAAGGCAAAGAAGGATGTTTCCATTGCATTGAAGCACACTTTGATTCCGGCTGGTAGTGATGCACACATGATTTTTTACTGGCCTGTCACATCTAATCATTTCCTCCAGCCTCTGCATGGATGCATCTGTTGTAAAATCAACAGGACGATCAGATCGGACTTCATCAACAATGTTAGTTTCCTTGAGATTTAAAAAAAAAATATCCAGATATGTACCGCTTTGCGGGATAAACATTTGTCATCATTTCCTTGTGAGTGTCCTTTGCAGGCAACCCTTTTGCCCCCCTCTACCCCAAAAGTGCACAACAGCACGTTCTTCTTTTAAGTTTACACTCCGTAAGTACAGTCACCATTTTGTTTCTGTGTTGCGAATGCACATGCAGCACCTAGCGCCACCTAATAAGCAGAGACATAAAGTTCTATGTTGCTGCCACCTAATGACATCTTTAAAAACCACAAACTACATTATTTCTGCCATCCCATAACCATTTGTGACTTACTTATCGACTTCCCCTTGAACATGACACCATGGAAATCTTAGGTTTAATAAACAGGTATAGACCATTCTAATTGTGACTGCTTGTGCTTATTTTTCACGTGCTGGGTTTACTTCTTTGTATGTTGATTTAGTTTCTGAAATAGCGAATCTGTAATAATGCACCTGGCAGTGTAGGAAATTGGAAACAAATGGAGTATGCCTTTCACCTCCCCCAAAACCTAAAAAAATTTATGAGAGAGGCCAAAGCTGCAGGACTCGGTCCATCCACGATATTGAATTGATTAAACAGGTTAGAACAGAAAGCAAGAATATACTGGTGGCATATAATAATAGGACAATTAATTAATAAATAGTGCACCTGGTATATATATATATATATATATATATATATATATATATATATATATATATATATATATATATATATATATAAAATTGTGCAATATATTGTTTATGTTATTTATGTCTTTTTGGTTTTAGCAGTATGTGAAATTTTTAAAACAAAGAAAGCATCTGCATCAATAAAGAAAACACCTGCATCAACAAAAAAAAAAACCTGCATCAACAAAGAAAACACCTGCATAAACTAAGAAAACACCTGCATCAACAAAGAAAAAACCTGCCTCAACAAAGAAAACACACCCATCATAGATGACAAGGAGTGTTGGCATCAGAATGGCTACATTATTGCTTAAATGATTGGAGCTGCAACATCAGTCATTTGAAAACATGCCTACACAGGGCTTGATGTGAATACTGAAGAGGAGAAACACAGGAGCTTTCTCATTTCTTGAAGTATAATCTCATCAGATTATTAATAGCATATTCATTCCAACATTAGGCTACCAGTGCCAGACATGGACACTATCTAAAGCCCATATATGCAAAATCACCACCTGCGAGATGAGGTGCCTGAGAAAAGCAGCCAACCTAACCATCCGAGGTCGAGTGAATAATGAAACTATCAGGCAAATTGTGGGAACGACACCTTGCACTAGATTCATCGAGAAACAGCAGATCAAGTGGTTTGGCCATCTCGTTAGAATGCAGCAAGATCAAATACCATCACAAGCACTACATCTCAGAAGATCAGCTACAAGAGCAAGAGGACGGTCGCGGAAAATATGAAATAGACACACTACGCCTTTACGGCATGACAATAGCCAGTGGCAGCCAATGTGCACTGGATTGCAAATTATTCCTCCCCAGGGCACTTAACGACAGAAATGGTTTAAGATGATGATAATCTAATGGCATGGTTCAACCATAACTTGACTATGTCCCTGTGGAGACACCCAAGTTTCAAACTTCACATCTTCCCCAAGAAGCATATCTTAAGAGTCGACTAATTGCAGGCTTCCTTCGAAGTCGGAGTGCATCTGCCTCAGAGGCAAGGAGCCAACAATCTGCATACAGGTAAGTCAGATCTGTAAAACGGATGTGCAGGCAACACTCAGGTTCTGGAACAAGACTAATGTCCAGAGGTGGACGAACAGCCAGAACTTTCCGCCAGAGTTTACAGCCGGTGAGCGCAAGGACGCAGAAGACATCTTGCAGTGATTGACCATATCACACCCTTAACACCCCCAACACCCAGAACTTAGGTGGTGAGTTCAGGTTTTCTAAGTATGTCTTTGTGTTTCAGAGCAGGCCAAAGCCAACCAGGAGAAGTTTCAGAAAATGAAAGAGATATACGGCAAGCTGAGGGAGGAACATGTGACCCTTTTGAGAAATGTAAGAATATCAGTGTATCTGTGGTATTTGCACAATCAGATAGTGAGTATCAGTGTCTGTGGTGTTTGCACAATCAGATAGTGAGCATCAGTGTATCTGTGGTATTTGCACAATCATATAGTGAGTATCAGTGTAACTGGTATTTGCGCAATCATATAGTGAGTGTCAGTGTATCTGTGGTATTGGCACAATCAGGTAGTGAGTATCAGTGTAACTGGTATTTGTGCAATCAGTTGGTGAATATCAGTGTATCTGTGATATTTGAACAATCAGTTGCTCACTGTCACTATATCTGTAGTATTTGCAACATTAGTTTGTGAATATCAGTGTATCTGTAGTGTTTTCCTAATCAGATCGTGAATATCAGTGTATCTGTGGTATCTGCACAATCAGATTGTGAATATCTTTAGTATCTGCACAGTCAAATAGTGAGTATCAGTGTATCTGTAGTATTTTTACAATCTGATAGTGAATATCAGTGTCTCTATAGTATTTGCACAATCAGTTGGTGATTGTCAGTGTCTCTGTAGTATTTGCAGTTAGTTGGTGAAAATTAGTGCTTCTGTAGTTTCTGCAAAATCTGCTCAATATCTGTAGTGTCTGCACAATCTGTTGGTGAGTAACAATGCAGCTATAGTACTTGCACAATCATTTGGTGAATATTAGTGAATCTGTGTTATATTGTACAATCAGTTGGTGAATATCAGTGTATCTGTAGTATTTGTACAATCAGTTGGTGAATATCAGTGTATCTGTAGTATTTGTACAATCAGTTGGTGAATATCAGTGTATCTGTAGTATTTGTACAATCAGTTGGTGAATATCAGTGTATCTGTAGTATTTGTACAATCAGTTGGTGAATATCAGTGTATCTGTAGTATTTGTACAATCAATTGGTGAATATCAGTGTATCTGGTATTTGTACAATCAATTGGTGAATATCAGTGTATCTGTAGTATTTGTACAATCAATTGGTGAATATCAGTGTATCTGTAGTATTTGCATAATCAATTGGTGAATATCAGTGTATCTGTAGTATTTGCACAATCAGATAGTGGGTATCAGTGTTTATGTAGTATCTGCACAATCAGTTGGTATCAGTGTATCTATAGTATCTGTACAATCAGTTGGTGAATACCATACAAGGATTACACTAAAAGAGGAGAAGGATGCAGAGCACGGCAGACCAAGAACAGGATGGAAAGATGCAGCAAAGGAACTCAACAACAACAACAACACAGTGTGTCTATGGTCCTGCCGGCGGGCAGACTTGCGAAAAATGGAAGAAAGGAAAAACAACACACCCATTCGTTGTCATTACCAGAAATCAAAACACTTATCAAGGGAAAATACAAGGAATTGTGGAGAGAACAAACCAACAGTAAACAGCCTCAAGAGCCCATCAGCAGACTCAACAGAAAGCAACAAACAACAGTTTTCAGTCTGTGAACAGGACACTGCAGGCTCAACTACCACATGCATAAAATAAGGATTGTACAGTCCCCACAGTGTACCTGTCAAAGCGGACCACAAACACATGAGCGCATTCTGCAGACCCGCCCACTCTACCTACAGCTTTGAAAAGAAACCATTTACAAAACAACACAAAGAGGAAGAAGAAGAGAAGATTGCAAAGATTATCATGGAAGGATAGAAAAACAAACGAAGCAGTCCTCGTCGAGACAGATGAAAGTTATAAACGTGTCAGAACCTGTCTGTATCCATCTCTCTCTATTACTGTTTCTGTCCCCCACCCTTTTTTCACCCTCCGTCCTTTTCCCCTATTCCTCCCTCCATCTCTTTAATAAGGGGTGAGATAAAGAGACTAAATGAGCCTAACTAGTGTCAAGTTTAAGCAACGTCTTTCATTTCTTATTCATTTGTATTAACTTTTTTGTTTTAAAACCCCATTAAAGCATGACAGTCTTGCCAAACAGTTGGCTGCGGAGAAAAAAATTGTGGAAGAAAAGGATCAACTAATGAAGGTAATTTTGTGCAGATTTCTCTGTTTTAATCTGTGTCAGCTAGGAGGTTCATTAGTTAATAAAAGAAGTGAAAGCCTTGTATGGAAGTAACCTGTGTAGAAATTCTTAAAATACCATGGACCAATATAAACATAAATATTGACATTCAGAAAGTTTTTAACATTAAAGATTGGCTGATCACCGCCATCTTGTTTCAGAAACTTAAAGTAATTTAAGTTTTTTTGCCTGGTGAGAATCCTAAAAAATGACCTTTTTCCAAATTTTGTTTGGAACATCATTATTAAATGCCTTGCCCTCTGGCGTAGGCATTCTTGCATCTCCACAGATGTTGATCTTTTATGTTCTGGATCAATTCCACTAATGATATTCCTCCAGGCCACTGTCTAAAGCCATCCACCATCATTTCTCTTGGTCTGCCTCTGCCTCTTCTACCAGTGATCTTTGCAGTCTTCCCGATATTTTCCAGTGCTCTTTTTCTCATCAGATAACCAAAGAACTGTGTTTGTCTCCTTCTCGTTGTTGCATATTTGGAACATCACATCCTTATAATTATTTTCTGAAACTCTACCCTAAGAAACTGGGAAAAAAAAAGAAGAGAAGAAGCAGTAGAAATGTTGAGTCTTTACAGTTTGTACAGATATCCAGGTGGTGGTACCCTCTAGACATCCGAGCAGACACGAAGGCATGAACTCTTCTGCTTCTTGGATGACATGTCAAACAAAAGTGTACAACAACCTCTCTTGAGTAACAAAATCTCTAACTAGGGACCATTTGATGTCCACATCAAAGGAAGTAATCACTAAACACAAACGGAACAAAGAATGAACTGATTTCCTTTCCTTTAACCATTTAAAAGTGAATTGATCATCTTTCAGCAAAGAGCAAAGTGATTGAGTCATGACTTAAAAGGACATCACATTGTTTCAGATCAAATTTTTCCTCTACACCAAATAATATCCATAAATTTAAAAAAAAAAAAAGTTCTGACCTTGTGCATGCAGTTGCGCCTAGTCTAAAATTGCTGTTCAGGTGTAGTGGTGACTGCCCAAAGAGACATTGTACAATGTGCATGCGGTTGCACCCAACACCAAAACTGCTGTACAGGTGTAATGATGACTGCCTAAAGAGACATTGCGCAGTGTGCACATGGTTGCGCCCAGCACTAAACCTGCTGTACAGGTGTAGGGACGACTGCCCAAAGGGACATTGTACAGTGTGCATGCAGTTGCGCCGAGCACCAAAACTGCTGTACAGGTGTAATGATGACTGCCTAAAGAGACATTGCACAGTGTGCACGTGGTTGCGCCCAGCACTAAAACTGCTGTACACGTGTAGGGACAACTGTCCAAAGAGATATTGCGCAGTGTGCACGTGGTTGCGCCCAGCACTAAAACTGCTGTACAGGTGTAGGGACAACTGCCCAAAGAGACATTGCGCATTGTGCACGTGGTTGCGCCCAGCACTAAAACTGCTGTACAGGTGTAGTGATGACTGTCCTAATGAGACATTGTGCACATTTTAAAAAAAAACCCTGATAAGCCTAGGTTTCCCATGAAGACAAATTTTCAAGATTAACTCAAACTTCCAAGTCCACCCAGCCTAAAATTGGGGACCAGGACATTTTGTGAAAAGAAATATCACTGTAGTAATACTGAAATAAATTTCGTCAGAGTTTTGACAATGAGGGGCCTCAACTCACAAACATTGATGGAAGTGCTGATGAGTAATGACTAGTTTGTGAATAACATAAGTGGATTCTGGGCACCATTTTTGAAGTGAAGAAAAAAAAATACAGACCAAGTTTAGATCACAGACGGTCACAGACAGTCGCCCATGCCAAAGGAATAATTGCCTATGCCAAAGGAATAATCGCCCATATCAAAGGATTAATTGCCTATTCCAAAGGAATAATCGCCTATGCCAATGGAATAATGCCAAAGAAATAATTACTTATGCCAAAGGAATAATCGCCTAAGCCAAAGGAATAATCGCCTATGCCAAAGGAATAATCACCTATGTCAAAGGAATAATTGCCCATGCCAAAGGAATAATCACTTATGCCAAAGGAATAATCGCCTTTGCCAAAGGAATAATCGCCATGCCAAAGAAATAATTGCCCATGCCAGTTGGCAAGGCACTTAGAATTTGATGAAGAAATTAGACATGTTTGGACAAAAGTCACAGAAATCAAGCCTAGCTGTAAACCACAGCACGTGTGCTAATCATTCTTGCTAAGGGTGAATGTAGAAGCAAAAGTAGTATTTCATGTTGAGTTTTGTTCAGAAAAAAAAAATAATGCCTGTATTATAAATTCATTTTTTGTTTCGCTTATTTTCCCTCACCCCCTTTTTAGGAAAACCAACTGGAGTTGAACAGGATGGTGGAGGAAAAGCACCTGGTACAAAACAACCTTCAGAAGTCTGCAGAGGACATCTCCCAGCAGTTGGCAGAAGTCAGCAGTTTCAACTCAAAATTGGAAAAACAGAAAGAGGTGAGGCTTCTTCTTCTTCTTCTCCTCCTCCTTCTCCTCCTCCTCCAACTCCTCCTCCTCCTCTTCCTCCTCCTCTTCCTCTTCTTCTTTGTCTTCATCTTCGTCTCCTCCTCCTCCTCTTCTTCTTCTTCTTCTTCTTCTTCCTCTTCCTCCTCTTCCTCTTCTTCCTCCTCCTCCTCTTCCTCTTCTTTTTCTTCTTCTTCTTCTTTTTCTTCTTCTTCTTCTTCTTCCTCTTCCTCCTCCTCCTACTCCTCCCCTCCTCCTCCTCCTCCTCCTCCACCTTGTACCTCAGCAAAGTGTCGGGGGAAGATGTAACGTTCGTTTATGAGCTCTTGTCAAGAGCACTGTTAACACTGATGTTAATTTCTGTAAGGCTGTTCTTTATGCCATTACTCCCATCTTTTTCGAGGTTTTCCACTCTATACCCGTTGTAACGTTTTAATGTGGCTCGCTGTGGCAGATAGTGCCAGGGCATTCTTGTTAGGTGTCCAAGTCAGTTCATTTGTTTTTCTTTGATGACCTGTAAGACTGGCTTTATTCCTAGCATTCATCTGATTTTGTGATTTCGTATTCTGTCTTTCCTTGAAACTCCTGCAGCTCTTCTAAGGCATTTCATCTCTGTTGTCACAATTTTACGTTCATTGCAGGATGTAAGTGTCCACGTTTAGCACTGATAGCATTAGAGGTGAGGCAATTGTTGAAAAGGTTTGAAGTCAACAGGATCGACTTTATTGCACTAGGTTTAATTCCATATGGCAGTCTCTCTCAACAAAATAGCCACCTACTTGCTGAGAGTGTTGCACAAAGCATGAACTTCATAGCTCCAGTGACAATCCCCGGTCTCTGTAAAAATTGCATTTGTGAATTAAACGGTGCTGTCCATGAAACAAACTCACAGCCTACAGATATTAGGGCAAATATCTTAACCACTTAGCCAGGGAAAGTATGTTAATTCAGTTTTTAAAAAAAATTTGTTTTAATTAAATGATAGAAAACTGGAGTACATCGTGACGGTAGGAAAGTTGAAAGGGAAGAGAGGCAGAGGGAGAACGAGAGAACAGATGCTGGACAGTTGGACATCATGTCATGGAAGATCATTTGTGTCAGAGTTGAAAGTACACGAGACAAAAGGTTGTGGATAGACATGACCACCAGTGCTACACGACATGGACTTTAAGAAGTTGAAAGTTAGGTGTGAGCCCGGGTCTCTAGCATAGTTGGCTAAACCGTATTGCGCGGTGACCGGGTGATGAACTCCTTGTGGTCTGGGTTCACTCCCGGTGGTAGGCAGAAAAGACACATTTCTCCCAGATTTACGGTATTTATCATGGAATCAAGGCCGAAATGTTGCGATATCCATAATACCGAGCCTAAGGGTTAACAACTCATGGCTTCTGGATGCTAAAAACAAAAAAACAAAAAACAAAAGTTAGTTGTATATCCTTTACAGGACATTGCAGATCAAACCCCAGCATTTTTTTGGCTGTTGCGGTTTTTCTAGGCAAACAAGTTTTCCAGACTTTAAGAAGAAGAAATTAACAAAAAACAAATAAAATCACTAAAACTATAGGTTGTCCCATAAGTCTTCATTCATTGGAAAAATAAACTTTTCAACCTTATTACAAGCATAACTCCAGCTGTCCTTATACATGTTCTCCAGCAGTGGAAGACCTGTATCGAAATGTGTTATCGAAATAATGGTATTATTCCTGTTTATGGAAACTTATGGGACACTGTGTCTTCTTCTTCTTCTTCTTCTCCTCTTCCACCTTGTACCTCAGTGAAGTGTTGGTGGGGAGATGAAACATTCGTTGATGAGCTCTATCAAAAGCACTATTAACACTGATGTTCATTTCTGTAAGGCTGTTCCTAATGCTATCACGCCATATTTTCCGAGATCTTTCACTGGCTCTATACCCGTTGTAACGTTTAGTGTGGCAGATAGTACCAGGGCATTTGTATTAGGTGTCCACTTCATGTGTTGTTCTTTGATGACCTGTAAGACTGGCTTTATTCCTAGCATTCGTCAGTGTAGAATTCAGCTGGTGAATACCCATTGACTGGTTCTGCAACACTGGGTGGTTAATGGATGTCCACGAGCTCAAGGGTCTTTAGGAGAAGGGGAAACATGCAAAAAGCATGATTAGATCATCAAAGTCTGGAGAGAATGCTACAACAGAGAATGCTACAGCAGAGAATGCTACAACAGAGAATGCTACAACAGAGAATGCTACAACAGAGAATGCTACAACAGAGAATGCTACAACAGAGAATGCTACAACAGAGAATGCTACAACAGAGAATGCTACAACAGAGAATGCTACAACAGAGAATGCTACAACAGAGAATGCTACAACAGAGAATGCTACAACAGAGAATGCTACAACAGAGAATGCTACAACAGAGAATGCTACAACAGAGAATGCTACAACAGAGAATGCTACAACAGAGAATGCTACAACAGAGAATGCTACAGCAGAGAATGCTACAGCAGAGAATGCTACAGCAGAGAATGCTACAGCAGAGAATGCTACAGCAGAGAATGCTACAGCAGAGAATGCTACAACAGAGAATGCTACAACAGAGAATGCTACAGCAGAGAATGCTACAGCAGAGAATGCTACAACAGAGAATGCTACAACAGAGAATGCTAGAACAGAGAATGCTACAACAGAGAATGACCAGGGGATCAGGCCAACACTTTACACTCAGAGAAAAGGAAAGGCGGACATATAATCAGACTCCTACTGTTAACTTCTTGAATAGGAGCTTTTCAAAGGCTGCTGAAGGTAGTTATAAAGCACTTATGAGAATGTCCTGGAAGACAGATTTACTTTCGAAATCTGATGCCTCTGTTTTCTAAAATTGTCCTATATGTACAATTTCTGTACTGAGCCTTTTATTATTATTTTCTTTATCATCATCATCTTCTTCTTCTTTATATTCTTCTTCTTCATCTTTTATTTCAGCATTGTGAGGATTCATTTATGCAGAAATCACCTGCCTCCATTCATCTCTCTGATTGGCTTTCTCTTTCCGATGGTGACTCCAAGTGCTTGTAGCTCTGGCATATATTATCTTTAAAACCTCTTCTTGATCTGCTTTGTGGTCCACTTCTTTTCAACCCTTTTTATATATGCAGGTTTTGTCTCTCTCCTGTCTGCTATTGTCTCTATATGTATATATATATATATATGTACTGCAAGTAATATAATTCAGTCTATTAGCCCAAATGATAGCAGTAATTAGTGGTGATTTAAACAGATAATTAATTTCATTTTTGCTACTCATTTTCCATTCTCCACTGTCGAATCATCCCTGTGTCCAAATATTTGTCGCAGCACTCTATTCTCAAAATCGCCTGTCTGATCCATGAATTGGGTGATTGTATGGGATGCCGAAACATGAATGTACATTTTTTCTGCATGGCACATGATGATGAATTTTTTTTTCTTTGCTTTTTTCTCAGATCAGTTTTTTTCTGTTGATCCTGTCAAATTTCCAGGTTACCTGAGTTTACTGAGATGTGTATTGTACTTTGAATTTAAGGATTTAGAGGCCCGAATACGCAGCCTTGAAGAAGCAAAAACACAGCTGGAATCTGACCTGGACATCAAAGTCTCTGAACTGACCACTGTCAGCAGTCAACTGCAGGACACCAGAGAGCAGGCAAGGGAGAAAGAACAGGAGCTTACCGAAACAAATGATACTCTGAAGATGCAGCTCGACCAAGTGAGGACTGAGAAGGAAACTATGGAAGGCAGATTAAGTAAGTTCGACATTTCTATGTTTTGTGTGTTGTTGTTGTTTTTAAATTTTTTATTGTTTGCTGCATTTTTATTAATGTATCTCATTTTTTCCTCACAGAATATCTCTTTTATATCTCGATTCCCTCTTGGCGCTGGACTGGAATTTTTGGGTCTTCTTGTTCTTCTTTACGTCCTCTTTCACCACTGTGGGTGTTGAGGGAGATATAAAGTCCTACTTTGTGCTCTTTTGGCTGCTTCGACCAGGGACACATTGTGATGCTATAGATTTTCTCTGATGTTATCTTCCCATCTTGTTCTTAGTCTACCTTTTGCTCTTCGTCCTTCTCCTCTTTTGGTATATGGCTTGTATAGTATAGCATCAGAAGGCATTCTCTTCAAGTGGGCAAACCATTTGATTTGCTGTCTCTTAATGTAATTTAGAATTGGTTCTGTGCCGACTTTATCTTATATGACCTCATTCCTGATTTTATCTCTTCTGGTCACTCCTACAGTCTTTCTCAGACACCTCATTTCTGTGGTTACTAATTATCTTTTATGTTTTGTTGTGAGTGACCAGAAAGTGTTGTGAGTTTTTGGGTAATTTGTCTTTATTGGGGAGAGGGGTAAAGGCTAATAGGTTGAAGTGGTTGAGATGTATAGAGAGAATTGCAGTTAACGGAGAGACAAATCCTGCATATACAAAAAAATTAAATGGAAGCAGACCACAAGGCAGATCAGGAAGATGGTGGAGAGATTATATACAGACAGGTTACAAACACTTGAAATCACTAACTGGAAGGACAGAGTTAGTCAGAGAGATAAGAAGAGGCATGTGTTATCTGCAGAAATGAACTTCAGGGGGCTAAAACTGCTAAAGAAGAGTGAACGAACAAACTTTATTTTTAAAGAGTCACAGATTGGGCATGCATTCCCATCTTACAGTCAGCCCTTCCAAATACTCATCTTTCATACCGTAATTGTATTGAATTTTAAAGCATTTTATCTTCATACAACAATATACACACTTGGAGCATCAAGTAAAACACACGGGACACTGATAGTAAGAAGTCATCATCATGTGTCAACTGGCATAGACGCTCATGCATCTCCTCAGATCACAATCCCTGGTTGCCTGGAACAGCTCTCTTGATGATATCCCTCCATGCCATCGTTTCAGCCCATCCAGCATCTTCTCTCTTGGTCTGTCAATACCTTTTTTTCCACTGATCTTTCCAGTTGTCACGATGTTCACCAATGTTTCTCTTCTCATTATGTGGCCAAAGAACAGTGTCTGTCTCTTTCTTATTGTTGTATATAGAGATCTACTTTCATTAGCTTCTTTCAAGCAATCGTTGTTAGTTACTCTGGCCATCCAAGGTATTAGTAACATTCATCTCAGAAACCACATTTCTGTTGCTTCTAAAATCTTCTTAATAGATAGTAAATGGATACATAAAATTTACAGTCATATTAAACATGTACACATGAATACATAAATACACACACATACACACGCATGTACGTGCCTGCTTGCACACATACATACATTCACACACACACACACATATATATACATCACACATACACCACTTACAGATCATACAAACAGAGTCATCTGGTAACACATGCAATTATCAGTACCTTGGAATGATTTTCTAGCAGTTCATGGTATTCTCCTCGCCCTTCTCAAAGACCACATCTCGTCTGCCACAAGGTTTTTCATAATTTCATTGCTCATCGCCCACACCAAAACAGAACAATAGACCACAGGCGACTTTCCAAGAGGCTGAAGTGTTGTTCTTGTGAATATGTTTATGCATTTCTGTCAAAGGTTCCATGGAGACGGATTCTTCTCTTTAATTCTGTGTCACAACTTCTGTCGGATGTCACATTTTAAAAGATTTACCTATTTTATTTAAATATTCTTTACATAAATTGTGTGATACGTTGCTGTAGCTACAGAGTTGCGTGCGGACGGCGACACAGGCGGACAGTTTCTTATCAGCTGTCTGTATTGGTGGCAGAGCACTTATGGTTTATAACCGTGTGCTATGACGCTGGTTCACATCTCCAGACTTTAGCTTTACATAAATTATTAAGTACAAATACTGATTGTTCCCCCACAGTCACTGGTTCTGTATATGTATACAATGGCTATGACACTAGTTACAGGGGAATTATTGTGTATTCCAAGTGACTCTCATCAGTTTATATCTGTATATTGTCCATGAACTTTCTTTACATTATTACAGATAAACTTTCTTTACCTTGTAATAGATGAACTTTCTTTACATTGTTACAGATAGACTTCTTTACATTGTAACAGATGAACTTTCTTTACATTGTTCCAGATGAACTTTCTTTACATTGTAACAGATGAACTTTCTTTACATTGTTACAGATGAACTTTCTTTACATTGCTACAGATGAACTTTCTTTATATTGTACAGATAAACTTTCTTTATATTGTTACAGATGAACTTTCTTTACATTGTTCCAGATTAACTTTCTTTACATTGTAACAGATGAACTTTCTTTATATTGTTACAGATGAACTTAACTTTACAACATTGTTACAGATAAACATTCTATACATTGTTACAGATTAACATTATATTATAACAGATGAACTTTCTTCATACTATTACAGATAAACTTTCTTGATATTGTTACTAATGAATGTTCTTTATATTCTAACAGATGAACGGATTTCAGAAGCAGAGAACAAGCTAGCAGAAACAGAATCAGACAGGGACCGTCTCCAGGCAGAGCTGGACAAACAAGTGAACATACTGACTGACAAATGTAACCAGCTGGAGATAGAGAAGGAGGAACTTGAGGCCAAACTCAGGGCTGACATTGACAGCTTGAGGAATCAGATATTGAGTGAGTGTTCACCTTGTGAAGATGTTAACCTCGTCACCCTGGAAAGCTCCCAAATCTGGCATTTCCATCATGGCCGCAAGACCAGCACATCTGCAGTGACCTGTTTCTGTAAAGCATAGCTTAACATCATTGGTTTTAAAATAAAAGCCTGGAGATGAATATTTTTGCTATAGCAATTATAACATGAATAACATTATCTCCCTGTAGCCTCAGTGTTAGATGTCACATGATCGTGACATAAGTCACCTGATAAATATTTATTTAGACCCTATGGAAGGTATTCCATTTAATTCTTTGCTCAGTTCATGTTTACTCATTACTCCCTTTATATATCTTTACAAATTTTGAGGAAAAAATCAAAATGTAGAACAATTAATTTTTAAAAAATGTGTATATATTAATGGCTTTATATAATATGTTTGTTTTTAAAGGATTTTTGTTGTTGTAAATTCATATGGATTCATCGCCTTTTATTTAGCATTCTCTAGGCAAAAGAGTTAAGAAATAATTCTGTGTTGGGTTCATATCACGATATTTACCGCATCTCACCGGGCACTTGATTTCATGTCAGCCTGATTTATTCCATGGGTGTTTCCACGGGCTGTACTATCTTGTAGGGGTGTTAAGATATGCATTCCTTTCCCTTAGCTATCTATACACACACTGCGGAAAAACGGCTCCTGTTCGAATGAGGCCTGACATAAAAATATGCAGCTATCGTCCGTGGGATAGTAAGCGACTGTTTTGTTTTTATTTATGTCTGCGCAAGCGAGTCTTCAACTTGTTTTCTTTCCTCTCTTGACTATGTCTCTTATGCAGCCATCACTGGTTTGAGAATTTTTTTATATATTAGGGTGGGCCCTGAAAAGGACTGACAGTCGAAGGAAATTCACGACATAGGTCAGGTCGCAGTAAGGCCGCAGTGGTAGCGATGAAGAGCGAACGCAAGTAACACACACAGTGCAGACCGCTCACAATATAGAAAATAGAACGTGCTGCCCACTCACAATGCAGAATATAAAATAACAAAACTTGACACCTCTAGAGCCTAGGACAGCCTGTAGGACATCCCGCGCCCGGCTAGATGTGGTGATGTTCATGATATGTACCCTGTTTTTGTTATTGTTCATAAATCTGTGTGTATAACTGTATCCTTTTCGTGTCATTGTTGACACATCTGGCATTCAAATATGATCTCCTTTACTGCCGGTCTGCTGCTTTTCTTCTCATGGTATCTCATGTCATTTTATGTTCTTCTATTTCCTTTTCTGTTGTCCTGCTCGTTTCCTTGGGTAGTCCACTCTCCTTTTTTCGTCTGCTGTCCACCAGAGAGTCGCACTTGCCAAAATGTCATGAGGCATTCTGCAAACATGTCCAAGCCATCTCCATCTTCTTTCTTAGTCTTAGTCAAGGTTTCAACATCACCGCAGTCGGGTTTCCCCATACTTGCTCCGTTCCTGTGCCAGTGCAGATCAAATATAATGTCCCTCGCTGTCGCATTTCAAAGATTGGTAAACAAACAACTAGTCCTGGAACAATCCAGAAATATGTGCACGCAGTAAATGTATATTTCAGTTGCTAGAGGCATTAAAGCCAGCAATTGTTACTAGAAATGCAGTTTATCGTTGATGAAAATAGTCGGGCATGATAAGCTGGTTACTGTACACACGTATAATTATTACATAAGGTATTTTGCAGACTCACATGTAAACAGACTACCGGCCATATTGAGCACATCTTTTTCCTTTGATCAGGCACATGCACTCCCACTCTAAAGGAAATTTTGATCCTATTTCTAGGATAACGGTGGCTAATCCGAACTTATTGTATCATTATTTCCTATTTAGTAAGACTCTCATTCGAAAGAATTGTGAACCAGTGTTGATTGTCTTGTAAAAGGCTTCGCTAGTGGACTTCACCCATTTTACAATGAGTACTTGATAGACGTCCGTGGCTAAGGCGTTGCGAGTCCGACTCGTAAGCCAGCATACCGCGATCGAAACCCACTGCAGGCTGCGTGGATTTTTGTCGTGGTATGGGACGTCGCAGGTTGACCGGATGGGCTGTCTTGGGAAAGTAAAGACAGCCGGCGTAATGCTGACCACATTACCCAACGAGTGCTGATGGTCTGTAAAAATATGGGACGCTCTGCCCATATGCCCGATGCGCCGAAAGGCGTGAAAAGGGATCTTTACTTTACTTTTTCTTACTTGATAGACATTATCACCAATGCATTGGCTCCATTGGTATTGGAGTGCTAGAGGTTTTCTGGACACTGCATCTCAGGGGCCACCTGCTCAGAGATCCTCTGCTATCTCCATTTAGGCCGATTATCCATCGTGCATTAGGTGGGTGTGTGGCTGAAGTCCTGCATGAAATTGCCTGCAGCCAGCACAGAGAATGCTAGTGCTCAAAATGAGGAACATGGTATCCCTTTATACACCGCACAACAGCCCTAATTTCCCTCACACCTGTGATCAAAATCACTGTGCTACTTTGGTACTGAAAGAGTTCAGATATACGTTTGTTTTGCCGAATTTTCACTTTAAAAAGAAATATAATAAAAAAATAGCTAGGATTGTATTTTGTGTTCCCTGTGTGGGTTCCCAGGCCTCATTATGGGAAAAACAAGAATAGACCCGCTGCCTTCCCAACAAGCCTGTCGTAGGAGTCAGCTAACTGGGGACTTCTTTTCAAAGTTGGAGTGCATCAGTCCGAGCGGCAAGGAACAGCCAGCGGCACACAAATAAGCCAGCAAAATGGATGTATACGCAGAACTTATGCCCTGGTACACAGCCAAAATCCAGATGGACGAACAATGAGGACTTCCTGCTGGAGCTAACAGCCAAGAAGAGGAAGTATTTTGTGTCCTTTTCTGCTTGTAAGCCAAGATAGAGTTAGTGTGTATTTGATTGAAGTGTTTGTTTTAACTTTCATTGTTTGTTGTTTCAGGTCAGACTATCAGGGAGGCTACTGCCATGCTTGAAGATGCCATCGAGCAGGGAGATAATCCTGCTTATGCTTCGAGCACTTGCACAGCAGGTGGGTTAGCTGAGAATGATTTTTGGGTTGGTTGAGAATGATCGTAATATTGGTGGATTAGCTGAGAATGATTGGTGGGTTGGTTGAGAATGATTGTAGTATAAGTGGGTTGGCTGAGAATGATTGGTTGGTTGAGAATGAGTAGTGATTGTAGTTTGCCTGGTGGGTTATGCCTGCTGAGAATGATTGGTATGGTTTTTTTGGTGGAATCATTGGTAGGGGGGGGGGGGGGGGTTGAGGAAGATTGGTAGTGGGGGGGGGGGGGGGGGGGGGGGGGGGGGGGGGGGGGGGGGTGACTGTTAAGTGTGTTGGCTGAGAATGATTGTAGTATTGGTGGGTTGGCTGAGAATGAATAATAGTTGTTAAGAATGGCTGGTGGGTTAACTAAGAATGATTGTTTAATTGGTGGATTGACTGGGAATGATTGTCGGCAAAAATAAAAATCCTAACCCGCACAGTGCATGATGACAGCACTAACTATGTGGCCTTACATCCTCAGGCTCAAGGACAGAGGGTGTCCCTAAATATATGTTTCACATTATCAACCATTTACATTTCATTCCTGTGTGAGTAGTTGTTGTAGGAGCCACAGCACACTGATTTGTCCAAGTGCCCATAACGCTGTTAAGACGGCTCTCTCTGCAAGCTTTTCAGCTGAACAGTAACATAAGCAGAACGATTTTTGGACCTGTTCACATTTCCATGCCCAGGATTAGAGTAACTTCCCTTGCCATTCATGCCTCCTTAGGTCGTTGGACATCTCCTATGTTGGGGTGGTCTTATGGCTTGATTCGGCGTTCGCTCAGCATATGTAATGTTTGTGGGAGGTTGTGTTGTTGTGAGTCTGTTTCAGGCGCAAACTATTTCCCGAGAAAGAAAGCAGTTACAAAGAGCGTAGAAATAGTAAAATATCGCTGTGCCCATAATCCCGAACCGTCACACATTTAGCAGAGAGTGAAAATAATCACGCAAGCCAGCAGTGAGAGGACAAGAAAAGAGGCAGCAGTTACACTGTTCACAATAAAGAAAACATGACACCCCCCCCCCCCCCCCCCCTCCTCCCCCCCCCCCCCCCCCCCCCCCCCACAGCAAAGGAGAGGTCCAGCGACCTAAAGAGGCATGAATGGCAAGGGAAGTTACTCTAATCCTGGGCCTGGAAATGTGAACAGCACCCTATTTCTTAGCAACTCCACAAGGGAACACTTACTCATTAGCAGATTCCTCAAATCTACACTGCAAACAGTGATAAATACAAACAGTAATCGGCAGTATTCACAGTTTTCATCATCACAAATTAAATGTTTTCTTTTATCATTCTGTTTATTAATTCAAGATTTCTTTTGTCCACAGAGTATCTTATATCGCGGGCAGCTCCAGTTCTTTCTTGTCTGTCCAGGCTCAATAATTGTGCCTCTGCTTATAGTGCAGATAGAGCAGGTATGTGTCAACATTATTTGATACCAGATTTTAAAAGTGAGTTGTGTTCCATGGAATTCACTATTAGAGATCTAATAGAAATACATTTATTTGTCTGTATGTGTGTGTTTTTGTGTGTGTAGAAATGTTATTCTAAAAAAATTGTCGGTTTATATTGTCACTGTTTGCCTATTTAGCCCCCCCCTCCCTTTTGTGTATCTAGTCTTAATTTGGTAGGAGATCTTCAGAAAGGATCAGTCAGTCAGTAGCTGTCTCCACTCTAACAAGCCCTGCCTCTCGTCTTTTTTTTTAGAATAGACCCCCCCCCCCCCCACCTGATATTTACGAGAGGGCTTCAAAGAGAAACCTCCCAAATATGCTGGGCTGTTTGTGACCAGATCCAATTCCTTTTAAGAAAAAAAATCAAAAACTCAACCCCGCTAAAAGTGTACCTAACAAGGTTTTCATTTGAAGCCCCCTGGCATCAAAGGAAGCAGCAGTAGCCCAGTGGTAGCAGACTTGCCAGCTTTGTGGTCATGTGTTTAGATCCACATTGAGGAGTGCCCCCCACCCCCCCCCCCACCCCCCTTCCCCCAATAATTGAACCGTTTTCCCAGCTTAAACTGGGTACCAGGAAATGTTATTGAAAGTAAAGGCGTTGGTTGTGGTTTTTGTATCAGTGATACATGGGGATGGCACTGTACAGCATACTTGTTGGAAAAGGGGGGGGGGGTAGGTCTGTTATTTTTCCCACTATAAAATGGGGCCTAGAACTCACAAGGGGAATAATCACCTGTTGATTTTAATAAGTTATTTGTTATCTACAGAGTTGGAGGCAGTGATTACTGCAGTCACAGACTTTGCCCATCACCTGTCTGATTGTGTTGTCCAAGGCTTTGCTACATCTCATGCTGCTCAGATAGAACCAGGAGAAGGTAGGCTCTTGTTTTGTTTGCAAGACCATGGGTAGTGAGAAATGGGAGGCAGATAAATTAGGACAGCATGTCTGAGACACTGGGGCGGTGGCAGAGAAATTTGGACAGCATATATGAGACACTGGTTCATTGTTGAGAAATCGGGACAACACATCTCAGATGGTTCAGTGACAGAGACAGTAGGACAGCATGTCTGAAACACTGGTTCAGTGACAGAGAAATTAGGACAGCATGTCTGAGACACTGGTTCAGTGACAGAGAAATTAGGACAACACATCTCAGATGGTTCAGTGACAGAGAGAGTAGGACAGCTTATCTGAAACACTGGTTCAGTGACAGAGAGAGTATTACAGCTTATCTGAAACACTGGTTCAGTGACAGAGAGAGTATTACAGCTTATCTGAAACACTGGTTCAGTGACAGAGACAGTATTACAGCTTATCTGAAACACTGGTTCAGTGACTTTCAGTGTCCTTCACTTACTTCATTATCATGTATGTGTGTTCCCAGTGAAGGTTCTGGGGCCCAGCTGTGAGGAAAACAAGAATAGATCCACTGCCTTCCCAGCAAGCAAGTCGTAGGAGTCCACTAACTGGGGACTTTCTTCGAAGTCTGAATGCATCTGCCCGAGCGGCAAAAAATTACGCTAGTAAAATAGATGTACACGCAAAACTCAGGCCATGGCACAAAACCAAAGTCCAAATGGACGAACAACGAGGACTTTCTGCTGGAGCTTACAGCCGGTGAAAAAAGAAGAAGAAGAAGAATGTATGTTTGTAAAACCAAACTTGTATATTATTAAAGATCCCTTTACATGCTGGTTGTGCATTGGCCATGTGAAACTAGACACATATTTAAGAGACCAATCAGCTCTCGACAGGTAAGGCCACCAACATTTTGCCAGCCACCTTTACTTCCCAGGACATTACCTTGTAACTTTTTTCAAGGCTGGGTTGATATGGGATAAGTTTTTTTACAAATTAGATTCACACGGTGGTGAGGTTTGAACAACAGATCAACATCATAGCACACAGGTAGTAACCCATAAGTGCTCCGTTCTTCTTCTAACTCAAGTCTGAGTCCGAAGAAGCTCAGCATAGTGCACAGGTTCTGTAGCACAGACGGGGATCCTGAAATACTTTGGGTAGATTTTAAACTTTAAATTTTGCCCAGGCGGGGCCGTTAGACTTCTCTTTTCAATTTCCAACAATTCACATGGGCGTCCGATCTCTCTACCCAGACATCAGGGGGAATAACTAGAAGTCCAAGTGTACGTGAGAAAATCCCAGCCCTTACCAGGGATTGAATCCGAGAACCTCTAGCACTCGAGGCGGACACCATGCCTTGAAACCACGCAGCTCCCGTACCTGGTGGTGATTTAAGCTCAAGCCCGAAAGCCAGCAGTCATTATGCTGCCAAAGCTCCCTATATGCGTATTAGCATAACTGAAATTATATGGCAAAATGTTGTTATCATTTTATAAGCTTTTATTAAGCTTGCTTTTGTTTGTTGGTTTCTCTAGCTCAGTTTTACATTAGATTTTTAAAATTCCCAACAGAATTATCAAATGCATGCAGACACTCAGGCCGGTTGGGCATTTCATTACTACAGGCAGTTGGTAAAGGTATGTTTGTTAATTATAAAGAATTCAGACATTATTTGTACAATTTAAAATACTTGTATTATCAGATCTTTAAATGAGCAAAGATTACATTAGATATTAGACTTCTTTTTTCTTCTTCTGCATTCCAAATCATTGCTGCTCATACCACCATCCCTCAGTCCTCTCTGTAACCAACCCTCTTTTTCCAGTTGCTGACTCCAAGTGTTTGTAGGTCTCTGTATATTATCTCTTCACCATCTTTTTTCATCATCATCATCATCATAAGCCACTTCTGCCATTAAGCGTTGTGGGGAGGAATAATTTGCGATCCAGTGCACATTGGCTGCCACTGGCTATTGTCTGCCGTAAAGGCGTAGAGTGTCTTTAATGTTGTCGATCCATATTTTCTGAGGCTCCTCTTGCTCTTGAAGCTGATCTTCTGAGATGTAGTGCTTGTGATGGTATTTGATCTTGCTGCATTCTAACGAGGTAAACCACAACACAGCTTGCCGGCTGCCCTTGTAAGGAAAAATGCTGCAGCACATGAAGAACTAAGATGTTTGATACAGAGACAATGACACAAACAGTAGTTTGGTTAGTCTGGCCAAAACATGTCTTCATAATTAAAAAATTGGATTACACACAACTAGCTCTTTTGCACAGAAATGAAATGCTTACATACTATGCTAGGTGTAATGAGGAAACGTCAACCTAGGAATGATGATTTCAGGAGGAGAGTCGGCACAGAACCAATACTGAACTTTATAGGTAGACAACAAATCAAATTGTTTGGCCATGTAACACGATTGGCAGCAGACAGGGCACCACAGAGAGCAATGTTATACAAGATACAGCGGTGACAGAGCCAGAGGTCGACCACGCAGAATATGGACCGCAGAAATATCAGAGACACAGAAAAGTATTTTATAGGAAGCTGACAGAAGGGCCCGTTCTAGAGATATCTTCCTGCCCTGGCGCTGCGTGGCATTTCAGGAAAAAAGAAGAAAAAGGGCCTTTTGCACACCATCTCTCCTTCTGTTTCTTTTTCCAAGCATTCACTGATGGAAAGTTCTGTATGATCGTCCAATTCTGGACTTTGGTCTTTCTTCAGAACTTGAGTTTTGCATGCACATCCACTTTACAGATATGGGTTATTTATGTGCAGACTGCTGGTTTCTTGCATCTCAGACAAATGCACTATGACTTCAAGGAAAACACCCCTAATCATGCTTGTTCAGAGGGGTGGGGGAGATAGGGATGGTGGTATTATATATTTTTTTTGCCTCAAAGATTAGGCCCTGGAACTGAACATGGGGAACACACCCATTTAAGAAAGACTCAGTTATGTTGCAGCAATGTTACACATCAAAATGATGCTATGGCTTCACTTTCCATGCAAATATGAAAACATCTTTCTGTGTTGACAATCTAGAGGATGAACTGGAGTCCAAACTGAGAGATGTTGGGGAAAGCGTGGAGTATCTGATGAAACTGGCCGAGGCCCTGATTCCCAGGATGGAGGATGTCAAGGCAGAGGAGATCGGTGACCTTTTGGAGAATGAACTGCAGGGCATGGCCTCTGCAATTGAGTCTGCAGCTGCTAAAATTCAGGTTGATGTTATCTGATCTTTTTTTTTTCTTCTTTCCCCCTTTAGTCAGTTAGTTAGTTACTTAGTTAATTCGAACAAAGAAGACACAAACAATAGATTGCACAATTTATTGCCTGGCATATTTCGCTGTATCTTATCAGGTGCATACTACTACAGTAACAGTTACATAAATGAAGCAAATAAGTGAATCCTTTAAAACTGAAGTACAGTTTCAACAACGATCAAACATGACTGCCTGTTTTTACTGTTTTACCTGCCCTGATACGAGATACAGCAAAATATGTTAGGCATTAAATTGTACAATCTATTGTTTGTCAGTTCTTTGTTCAAATTTACAACGGGGAAACATTGCTTTGATTTAGTTAATCGACAGATTATCTTTATTGCACACTGGACAAGTCCATAAGCACGCAGATCCCATCTTCTGTTTATCCCCCAGCGTGTGGGGATTAATAACACCAGTTCTGTACTGGTTTACTATCTTACTTGTCCTGTCAAAACCAACACAGTGTCCCGCCATGGTGAAAGCAGATAGGTCAAATCCAACACAGTGTCCCACCATGGTGAAAGCAGATAGGTCAAATCCAACACAGTGTCCCACCATGGTGAAAGCAGATAGGTCAAATCCAACTCAGTGTCCCACCATGGTGAAAGCAGATAGATCAACTCCAACACAGTGTCCCAGCATGGTGAAAGCAGATAGGTCAAATCCAACACAGTGTCCCACCATGGTGAAAGCAGATAGGTCAAATCCAACACAGTGTCCCAGCATGGTGAAAGCAGATAGGTCAAATCCAACACAGTGTCCCAGCATGGTGAAAGCAGATAGGTCAAATCCAACACAGTGTTCCGCCATGGTGAAAGCAGATAGGTCAAATCCAACACAGTGTCCACCATGGTGAAAGCAGGTAGGTCAAATAAAACACAGTGTCCCACCATGGTGAAAGCAGATAGGTCAAATCCAACACAGTGTCCCACCATGGTAAAAGCAGGTAGGTCAAATCCATCGCCTGCTGTTGAACATATTTCCAAGATGTTTTCAGCTCAGATGCATTGAAATTCCGTTGCACCGGCAAAAACCTTGAAAAAAGTTGACCTTCTTTATTACTTTTGCATGAGACTAACTATAAACAATGCACAAATTCCATTTTTGTTATTATAATTAGTGGTGGTGTGAATAAACAACAGTGGCGACTGCCATCTTGACCCTGTTCACCCGTAATAAGGTGGTTGCTACATTTGTGGTTTACATTTTAGCTGCATTATCTACTCCTTTTGGCACAACATATCTTTCAGCAGACCCATAACTAAAACGTAAAGGTACCTTTTTCCACGTGTTCACACGTATTGGGCATACATGACTAGACCCATATTTTACAGACCAATTGACACAGTGGGGGATATGTGAGGTTAGGACGACTTTGTGAACCAAAGTCATTAAAAAACAAAGTCTGGCTCTGTTAGGACCAGAACCCACAGCTTTTGATCCAAAAATTAACATCTAGCCCCTACACCAGAATGACCCCTCTAAAGCCATAATTAGTCACCTGTTATGACGTTCAGCGGGTCTGTTCTTTTTTTTCCCCCCCACTATCTAAAATGAGCCCTGCAAGCCCACAAAGGGGATCTGGTCATTGTAATCTATGTTTGACAAGTAATTGTTGATAATTTTTACAACTTTTTGCTGATGATTTCTGGATTGAAAGAGCACTGTTCAACACAATATCCTTACCAACGCTGTGCTATCAGTATCAAACATGGACACTGTGTTCAGGAGACAGAAGGAAAATAGTCACAATAGAAATGAAATGTGCTAGGTGTAACGATAAAAGATTGACTTAACAATGAGGATATCAGAAGAAGAGTTTAGCACAAAAGCAATACTGAAATTTATCAGTAGATGACAGCTCAAATGGTTTGGCCATGTAACAAGATGGGCATCAGACAGGGTACCACAGAGAGCAGTGTTATACAGATACAGTGGTGACAGAGCCAGAGGTCGACCACACAGAAGATGGACCGCAGAAGTATCAGAGACACTGAAAAGGGAAATATATAAAGCGAACAGAAGGATCCGTTCCAGAGATCTCTTCCTGCCCTGATGCGGCCAGGTATTCCAGGAGCAGAGGAAGAAAGAAGAAGAAATCAATATGTTTTATGTTGAATGTAACGCACAGTTGGTTACTTGTAGATTAACTGTAAAATCCCTGCTACTTATTAAACTCTCATTTAGCTTAACTGCTTTTAAACTCTGAGTTTACTCTTTGACCTTTTCATTGACAGGAAATGTTACATAAAACACGAGAAGATAACACAGGAGTCAAGTTGGAAGTCAATGAGAATATACTGGCTTCATGTACGGAGTTAATGAAGGTGAGCGAAATCATTGTCTTCTGCTATTAAAGGGTTAAAACCAGGCACTTTATTTCTCTTAGACCAGACCAATTCAACTTAAGTTGACTGAGGGGCCACACTGTTTAAAATGTGGAACTTCACAAGCCAGAGACCAAGCATTAAAAAGGTCATTAATACAACACACAAGCCACTTGCTTAGTTAGTGATTCTGGCATGCATTTATGTTTTTAGTGTATTTTTTTTTTTTTTTAAATTGACAGCAAGAGGGTGTCAGATGTGAAGGTGAATTGCTGACTTTAAAGACAGTCTCCACATTAGGTTACATCCACACAAATTTACAGCAGCCAGCGCTATCCATCAAACCCGCGAATCATAAACTGTTATTCCCTCGAAACTTACTGGCAAAAGTAAAAATTAAAGTTAAAGATGTTTTTGTTTTTTAACTTTCCCATTCTTCTTTTAATTTTTGTTTGTCACTTCTGCCGTAATCTATTGTAACAGTTCACAGTTTATAAAATTTCCTATTTGTTCTATTATTACTAATTTTTTTTGCAATATTCATTTTTTTTTAAAAATTTATTTTAAAAAATGGATTAAACAAAGAAATTTGTGTGTGTGCGCGCGCACATTTTTTTTAAAGATAATTATTGCCTAGATAAGATTATTAACCTTTAGTTGTTTTGTTTTCTTTCAGGCAATCAAAATTTTGGTGGAGAAGTCCAGAGATTTACAGAAAGAAATTGTGTCATCTGGCAGGGTGCGACACATTACTTTAAACATAAATTTAACATTTAATACTTCTGACTGAATAATTTTTAATTCTCACATTCATGTGAGCTCTCTCTCTCTCTCTCTCTCTCTCTCTCTCTCTCTCTCTCTCTCTCTCTCTCTCTCTCTCTCTCTCTCTCTCTCTCTCTCTCTCTCTCTCTCTCTCTCTCTCTCTCTCTCTCTCTCTCTCTCTCTCTCTCTCTCTGTCTCCCCCTCCCTTCCCCTCTCTCTCTCTAGCTTACTCTCTGCTTCTCTCTTTTTTTCTAGCATGCTGTTTCACAATCCATCACCTCATGAAGCATGCATATCTAGTTTTGAAGACTGCAGGAAATGTCGGCCTTCCAGAAGAACAGCAGATGATTAATAGCATCTTTATCCCTACTTTATGTTATCAGTGCCAAACATGGACAGTGAATAGGGCACTAGAACAGAAAATAACTACATATGAATCGCGCTGTCTCCTCAAAGTCACTAACAACACAGGAAGAGACAGGGTTACGAATACCAGCAGAGAGAAAGTTGGAATAAGACCATGTCTGGGCTATGCTGACAGACAAAGAATTAAATGGTTCATCCATCTAGTGAGAATGCAGTCAGACCAGACTGCATATGAGACGTTAACATTAGAACATCTGGGTGGGGAGGGGGGTAGGGGGGGGGGGGGGGTCCAAGATAAAGATGGATAAATGTTGTAGCTGAAACCTGCAAAAAGATAAACCGATGTATTACTACACAGTTTACTTCAGCATAGAATACTTTTCATTGAAGTACATGAATCAGTATTATATTGCATCAAGAGACAACAGATCAGATGGTTTGGACATGTGTCAAGACTGCCACCAAACAGTGAACTACAGAGAACGTTGAGTTGAGTCAAGAATTAACATCACTGCACTCGGGACATTTCCATATGTGCTCCATGCTCATCTTCAGCAGCCAGCGCAGAGTTCTATTACTGATGGTACCGGTCACAATCTGGTTATATATCCGTCCTGCCTTTTCTCTGTGTGTAGTGAGCCGGCCAAACCCTCTGGTTACACCCAGATAGAACATTGTCATTTAGACATAATAGAAGCAGATCCAGAGGTTATGGATATATGGAATAGCCGAGACTGTAAATACTTGTATCTATGTAGCACATACCTAAGCTCTCACTCGATGCCTGACACAAAGGCAGAACAGGACTATAGAAGAAGAAGAAGACGATTGACGAATCACACTGTATCTTGTTATACTTTACATCTAGCCATGGAAGTATAGGATTAACCATGTAATCCTTGTTTACATGACGCAAAACTGAATATCTTTATTGCCACTGATTCTGTCAGTTTTAATAAATGCCTGTTTAAGAGAATTTTGCCTTTTTTTTTTTTTTCTTTCTTTCTTCATTTTAGGGAACTGCCTCCGCCAAGGAGTTCTACAAGAGAAACCACAGATGGACAGAAGGGCTACTGTCTGCAGCTAAAGCTGTAGGTTGGGGAGCAACTACATTGCTGTAAGTTATAGCTACCAGCTTGGGATGCTGTAACCGTGTTTAGCTAAACTTAGATTTACCAGTTTTTGAATCTGCATTGAGTTACATTTTGTCCCCAGGTGTTTGTTTATGTTTATTTAAAGGATCAACATCATAGCACACAGGTGTAACCCATAAGTGCTCCGTTCTTCTTCTAACTCAAGCCTGAGTCTGAAGATTCCCAGTGCAGTACACAAAATCTGTTGCACTGGAATGGATCCTAAAATACTTTGGGTAGATTTTATATTAAAAATTGTGCCTGGGTAGCGCCGTTAGGTTACTCTTTTCGAGTTGCAACTGCCAAGGGATTTTTCTTTTGCGTGTGCAATAACACACACATCAACCGGTCTTACTATCCAGAGACCCGGGGAAATTACTAGAAGTCCACGTGAAAAAATCCCAGGCCTCACCGAGGCTTGAACCCGGGACCTCTAGCACTCGAGGCGGACACCATGCCTTGAGACCACGCAGCCCCCTTTTCCCAGGTGAATCCTTCCTAAAATTGGTCCTGGAAGGTGAAAGTAGCCCACATGATTTTAAACACATCACCCTACACTGCCAGTGCATGAATGCTGAATGCATAATAGAATGTATTTTTTTTTTTAGCTTTCTTCTCCCAGTGGAGGTTTGGGGACCCCTTTGTGGGAGCAAAAAAGGAATAGAACCCCCTCCCCCCTCCCAACAAGCATTCAGTAAAAGTCAACTAATTAGGGATGTTGCGTTTGAAGTCGGGGTGCATTTGTTTGAGAGGATATGAAGCAAAAAATCTGTATACAAATAAGTCAGATCTGTGAAACAGCTGTGCACGCATTACTCAAGTTCTGGAAGAAGGCTGAAGTCCACACGTGGACAAACAACCAAGATTTTCCACTGGAATTTAAAGCTGGTGAATGCGATGAAGAAGAATGTTTTATGTCTGGTTTACTTGCGTGTTTTATGTTCTATTTATTTTTATTTTGTATGCCAACAGAGACACGGCTGACAGGGTCGTCAGCGGTAAAGGCAAATTTGAGGAAATCATGGCCGTTGCACATGAAATTGCCGCTAGTACAGCCCAGTTGGTTGTTTCTTCAAAAGTCAAGGCAGAAAGGGAAAGTAAAAATCTGGCAGCTCTTTCATCAGCCTCTAAGGGTGTCAATCAGGCAACAGCTAATGTGGTGGCCTCAGCCAAATCAGCAGCTCAGATTGTTGAAGATCAGAGTAAGAGATTTTATACAAATGCATGCGACTTGTGTGCTATGTAGTTCCATATTTTTGCAGAAGTCATCATCGTCGTCTTCTCCTCCTCCTCTTCCTCTTTATTTTCCTCCTCCACCTCCTCTTCCTTCTTCTTCTTCCTCTACCTCCTCCTCCTCCTCCTTTTTTTTGTACTTCTTCTCCTTTGTCTGCTTCTGCTGCACTGCCATGACGCTGCCGCGCACTTCCTCCTCTCCTCTTCTTGTTCTTCTTCCTCTCCTTCCTCCTTTACCATCTTCTTCTTTCTTCTGTTCCTCCACCTTCTTCTTCTTATCTTCCTTCTTCATCTTTTTCTTTTTCTTCCTCCTATCATCCTATCTCTCTAAGGGCAGTAACAAAGTTGACATGATCCATAGGCCGACCACCTGCAACTGAGGCAGAACTGGCCAGTCTATCAGCTCTTTCATTGCCAACAATGCTTTTGTCGTGTAGAAATAGAGGCATGGGTGAGAACATCATAATGCCTGGAAACACCAGTGATGGTAGAGACAGAAGTAAAAATGTTACTGAATAGTCAAGGATAATGGTATTGAGGGATATCATCTGTAGAAAATAAAGAGTGTGCCGACGGGACATAATTGATACATGTATTGAGGTGGATTTATGGTGGTAACAGGATGCCATTGACCGTGTTGCACGAGGAAGAAAATCAGGAAAAGAATATGATTGACGGAGAAAATTAATACAGATAGGTTAAGAGCTAAGCACCTGAGAAGAAAATGTTAAATACATGCGATAGCTACAGTGGTCCTGAAATCCGTGTTCTGATCATAGAAAGATGTTTCTTATGACAAGCAGGTCTTGCTAGTCACACTTGCCATTGCCAGGGGCTGTGATTTTCGTGCCTCACTATAGCACAGTATAGAAAGATAGAAAGACTCGATCAACAGTGAGTAGAAGTGATTCAGAAGACTAAGAACCAAAGCTAGGCATCAAGACCCTTTTTTGGGTCGAGTGACCCTTTCACAGGGGTCACCTTAGACCATCGGAAAAAGTTATGACGGAAAATTATTGTTTGCCGGTCGCCACAACATGAGGAAACTGTTTTAAAGGGTTGCGGCATTAGGAAGGTTGAGAGCCACTGTGCTAGACATTTACCATATAGTCTGGCCTTGTGCAGCAGCCTCCCAAGTGTCAGGGTCCATGGGGTGGGTGGTTAAGAGCAGGAAAAAAAAGACATTATATAATAAAGCAAATTAAAAAAAAATTGATAAATTAAATTGACATTATGAAATTTCAGATCTCATGGACTTCTCGTCTATGTCCCTACATCAGACAAAAAAACTTGAGATGCAATGTCAGGTATGTAACTGTTATGTGCATTACTGACCTTTCTGTATATTTCTGACATTTACATCTTAGTTGAATACTACATATACGAGGTCCGACAATTAAGTAATGAGACTAATTCCATAAAAATTAAAATAATCAACAGTTGAAGATATAACCTGTATCTGATTTAAAGTAAGCCCCTTGTGCATTGATACAGCAAGTGACACGATCTAACAAACACTGGAATGGCTTCTGTAGTTCTTCTGTTGTTATGGCCCTTAAAGTCGATGTTACAGCTCAATATCGTCAAAGAAGCATCGTTTCAATGGTAACTTTAACAGAATAGAAAATAATCACAGGGAGAAAAATCTGGGGAGTAGGGTAGATGGTTGAGAACACACTTGTTCTTGGGCCAAAAATTCCTGTACAGCTACCGCCTGGTAAGCCGGTGCATTGTCATGAAGAAGGGGAAAAACTGCTAGGTGTTGAATAATTGGTTCGGACGGAGAATCCTTTTCAGTAGACATTTCAAAATACTTAAATAAACTGTGGCTGTGACAGTCTGTCCCTCTGTAATAAATTCTTTGTGAATAATTCCTTTGCTGTCGTAGAAGCACATCCACAGCTCAATTACTTCTTCTTGAATAGACTGTGACAGTATATATATATAATTTTTAATATAGCTTGGGAAGAAAGAAAAGTCCCAGCTGAGTGGCAACAGGCACTAATAGTACCGTTATGGAAAAAGAAAGGTAATAGGAGAGAATATGAAGCATACAGAAGTATTTCACTACTCAGTCACGTAAGAAAAATGTACGCCCAATTACTAAAACAGAGAGTTAGACCCATAGCTGAACAACAGCTGAGTGCATCACAATTCGGTTTCAGAGAAGGCAGAGGATGCACAGATGTATTATTCACTCTGAGGCAAGTGTGTGAGAAAGCCATTGAGTATAATACCAAACAGAATATTGTGTTAGTAGATTAGAAAAAAAGGCTTTTGATAGAGTGGAAAGAAACAAACTGTGGTCTGTTCTTATGAACTACGGGGTACAAGGACAGTTACTAGAGAACATCATAGCCATGTACCACACATGCCAAAGTGCAATAAGAACACAAGTAGGCATATCAGATATGTTCACAGTCAACACAGGTGAGACAGGTATGTGTGCTCTCCACTTCTATATATATAGACAGAATATCTAAAGAAGCAAAATCTGATACAGACAACATAGACCTTTATAATGATGAGGAAGAAAGTACACACATCATGAGAAGTTATCGATTCACCCATATTAAACGAACTACTATTTGCCGACGACCAGTGCTTGTTCTGCCCTGAAGAAGATAGACTGCAAGACCACATTAACAGGTTAAACTCAGCATGCAGTAAATACAACATGAAGATCAATGCAAACAAAACCAAAACAATTCAAGTTAGTAGAACCTTAATGATGAATATATATACATGAAATCCAATCACACTTGGTATTATCTCAAAACACACACGCATGCGAGCGCAGACACACGCACGCAGGCAGGCAACCACCCACCCACGCATATGTATGAATGTATGTATGTGTGTGCGTGCGTGTGTGCATGCGTGGTTGCCTGCCTGCCTGCGTGTGTCTGCACGCGCGTGCGTGTGTGTTTTGAGATAATACCAAGTGTGATTGGATTTCATGTATATACTGTCTTCTTCTTCTTCTTCAGCATTCTGAGCCCTTGAGGTTCATTACTGCAGATATCACTTTATAATACTTTCCTCATCTCTCTGTTTGGCCTTCTCTTTCTAGGTGGTGACACCAAGTGTTTGCAAGTCTGTCTGGATGTTATCTCACCATTGTTTTCTTGGTCTGCCTCGTGGTCTGCAACAATTCAGCTCCCTTATGTATACAATTTTTACCTCTCTGTGATTTGACATTCTCTCAATATGACCAAGTCATTTCAGTCTTAGATCTTATGATGCCAGTGATCAGTAGTATTACTGTGAACATTTTAATTGATGATTGCATCATTGTGTGTCCTCTCACATCTGATGTAGATTCGCGTCATGGAGCTCGAGTCTAACTTGGAGAAAGAAAGGAGGAAACTCGGAGAGCTGAGAAAGCAACACTACAGTTTAGCCGGAGAGGCAGAAGGATGGGAAGTCAATGAGGTAAGGATTTTACTACAGAGTCTTTTACTTTCATTACTTTCGGATTTCTCATAGTTCATTTACGGTAGAATTAAAGGAAGCTAACTTTTTTTCAGTAAACTTTATTTGCATACCCTGTAAAGAGAGCTGCCTTGGCGGAGCGGCTAAACGCTGACCTGCAGATCTGAAGGTCATGGATTCAGATCCTGGCGGATCCTGACTTTTTTTTCTGAAATGACCTTGGCTCCCAGGTCAACCCAGCCCTCAGTGGGTACCAGGTAAAGTCTGGGGAAATAAAGGCAGCCGGCGTGATGCTGACGACATCACCCACCAAATGCAGATAGGTGTATGAAATATAGGTCTAGCCCTATATGCCTAATATGCCTGAGGGGAAAAAAAAGGGTCCTTTACATACATTGGGGCTAATTCCCTGTAAATGTTACATTTCTGACTTGTTTGTAAAAACTTGTTCAGGGGATGTATAGTTGATGCTCAACTGCGCAAATATTTGTGAGCTCAGGTCATTAATATATTAACTATAAATAGCATTAAAGGGAGTTTTCTTTCAAAACCATTTTTTTTGTAAAGCCAAGTTGATATAATAATTTTCCCATAACCCTCAGTGATGGAGGTCAAGGGATCACAGCATCAGTCACCCAGTACATATATTTTTAGTTCCAGGGGGAAGTGTATTCCCTTTAATGCTTTACTTGTTTACATTTATTGATTACTCCCTATATATATATATATATATACATACATATATAAACAAATGTACTTAATTATATTTAAAAAACTTTATTAGTGATGTTTGAAGTTCTTGTTTTTAAAGAATTTTTTCTATCGGGGTCATGACCAGGTTTTTGTTTTTTTTTACCATGCCCAATAGTGCGCAGTACCTGCACCTTTTTTGAGTGCATAATTTGTTTCAGCATCACTATAATAGACACTTTCTTTCGGCGCCATCTAGAAAAAGGACCCTGGTCATAAACCATTTTATTTTAGCGTTCTCCGGGTTAAATGGTTAAGCAGTTACTTCGGCAAGGGTTATCCTTGCTTCATGAAGCTTTAGGCCTTGTCTAGTCTAAGTGTAGTCTTGTGTGTAATTGATAATTATCAATACTTTCCTTACCTCTGTTGTACTTGTAATTTATTTTTTGTTGTTGTGATAGGTCTTGGATCAGATTAATGGAGATGAATGGTAATTTACTGTGTACGATTTTAAGAAGCAGCTAACCACACACAAAAAACACACTATAAACTGTATTCCCCTGTGGGCTCTGGGGACATCCCCCCCCCCCCCCCCCCCCCAAAAAAAAAAAATGTTGACTCACTGCCCTGTAGCAAAAGTTAGATGTCTTTTCAGAATGTTGTAGAATCACTCCCAGCATTTTTTAGCTGTTGTGGTTTTTCTAGGCAAATTTATGTTCACTAATTTGCCATTGCTTTCTGAACGGGGGGTTTTCGCTACGACTGACAGAACTAACGCAAGGCAGTCAGTCTGATGCCAAAATGTATGCAGCTGGGATTGAACCCGGCATTACGAAGAGAATTTGCAACGCCTCAGCCACCTATGGCCTAACATGTTGTAAAAGGTGACCAGTTAAGATTTTCTGAAATCAGATGTGTTTGGTCAAGAATTGCAGATATCACAGCTTAGCTTAGCTAACCCTAACCACCACACAATATGGCAACTACCCTTTATAAGGTTGAACGTAGAAGAATATGTACTACAGATAGAAAGCCGATCGGAGGGAAAGGAGAAGGTGTGCCGCTGTTTTATTTTGTGTTTAGCTGCTTCTTGATATCAGCTCGGCTGCTGTAACTTTATTTTTATGTTTGTAAACAATTCACTGCTACAAGGGACTGGCCTTTTATTCTTTACCAGTCTTTTTTTTTCGCATAGGCTGCTTTATTTGTTGACTGAACCAAGTTTTTCTGTATTTGTTGTCCTTGTGAATTGATAATAAGAGCAACAAATGAAAGCATTGGGGTAGGACACACACAGACACTGGGAAAACCTGATGGTTATATGACTAGACAATCTGTGCACTGGCAGGGTCAAAGGAGTAAAGACAGACCTGCCTGTGTACCAGGGCTCCGTAAGGAAGGCATGGGGTGGGGGAAGAGGATTAGACCTCACTGCCGCTTAACAAGCACATAATAAAGAGCGACTGGTTTGCTGAAATTGGGTCTGTTTTGGGGACAAAGAGTTATATTACTACAGGTTAACCGTAAACCGCAACACCACATACGAGAAAAGTCAATGAGTCACAAATGTGTTTTTTTTTTTTTATAAACTAAAGACCATAGCAACTTGAAAACTGTTTTTTTTTTATATACATACACTCTCCCTTTATTTTTAAACATAAATTTCACCAACATTGATGCACTTGTCCCATCGTTTTATCAGTTCTCCCAAACCTGCTGTATAGAACTGTGTGCTCTGTTTTCTAAACCACATTTTCACTTCACATTCAACTTCTGCTTCATTTGTAAAATGTCTCCACCAAGTGGGTTTTTAGTGGACCAAATAGGTGGAAATTGCTAGTGGCTAAGTCGGGGCTGTCAGGTAAATGTTCCAGAAGTTCCCACCATCGATGGTTAATGTTCTTGGGAGTTAACCGAGCCGTATGGGGTTTGGCATTGTCGTGAAGGAGCAGTACTCCTCCAGTCAGCAGGCCTGGATGTTTTCTTTGAATGGCATCATGAAGCATGGATAGAACTTTACAGTATGAATCAGCATTCACTTAGTCCTCTCTTTAAAAATTGGTTAAAGGCGCTCCTTGACAATGCCAGAACACTGTCAGCATAACCTCCCCTGCTGTTGGCGTAACCTGGAATTTTTGAATACAAGGCAAAGAAGGATGTTTCCATTGCATTGAAGCACGCTTTGATTCCGCTGGTAGTGATGCACCCATGATTTGTCCCCAGTAATAACCCTGTTCAGCATGTCTTCTCCTTCATCTGCAAATTGACAGAGATGCTGTAAGGACAGGCCTAATTGGTTCATTTTTGTGTCCGTCAATTGTCTGGGTGCTCAGTTTGAGCACACTTTCTGAAATTTTAATTGATCGTTCATTCTGTTTTATGCTGAACCATATGAGCACCCTATTGCAGCTGCTACAGAGTCAACTGTTACTCGCCTGTCACCTCTAATCATCTCCTCCACCCGCTGTACAGATGCGTTTGTTGTAATTCCAACCAGATGACCAGATCGGATTTCATCAACAATCATAGAGCGTCCTTGAGAATTTTTTAAAATCCAGCTATGCACTGCTTTTCAGGATAAGCAATTGTCAGCAAAAACAGGAAGCATTTCCTTATGAATGCCCCCCCCCCCCCCCCAGGCACAACAGCACGTTTGTTATTTGAGGGTACATTCCATAAGTACATTCACCATTTTGTTTCTGGGTTGCGAATGCGCATGCAACACCTATCACCACCTAACGAAAGGAGACATAAAGTTCAATGTAGATGTCACCTAATGACACTTTTAGAAACCACCAACTACATTTTCCTGTCATCCCATAACCATTTGTGACCTTCTTATTGACCTCCCCTCGTCGTAGCGAACGCAACAACACACAAATAGGAGAGATAATAACCACAAAATTATCCTCTTACCTGTGGAGGTTGGCTTCAGAGGATATGTGCATTTATTGTGTTTTAGAGATCATTACATGGTGAAGCCCCAATCTCTTTCATGGTGCGACCTACATTCTGTTGGCACTTTTCCATCTTTCCAGATGATAGTGTTATATTGTGCTTTAGGGGGGTATGGGAATGAAGTTCCTCCTTTCCATAGCACAAAGCCTAGGCAGTATTGTAGAAACCATATGTTGCCAGTGCATTGTGATCCCTCTCTTAGCCTGCCTTGTTTTACTTCTTAGGAAGGTAATAACAATAATTTTTGGAGGGAAAAAAAAAGCATGCTACAGAAGCTGCCAGATCAGAAGAGCCATGCTCTGTTCACCTCTCGGAGCTTCCCTCCTAGACTAGCTGCTAGCCAGGGCTAAGGGCCTGGTCTGCCCTACAATAAAATAAGTTTTGGGGTTGCATTTCCTCTTCCTAGGACTCAGGTAGTAGTCTCCAAAAAAACCACAAGCACAAAGCGAATTAAAGTATGAGATGAAACAGGCGGGAAGGACACGAGGTTTGCCGCACAATGGCAGAAGATGGGCATTGTCGTGTATTGTTTTAAAAATTGTTTAAGGTCTTTGTTGCATTGTGGGAACAACAAAAGGATAAAACAAAAAAAAAAACTAATATAACAATAGCGTAAACACAGATGCTGATCGTTGTGTTTCTATGTTCATTGTTTCAGCACTGGCTTAATGTAGTTGCTTGTTTTTCTTTTTGAACTTGTTCTGCTGCTGCTGAAATTCAGTAGATCTCATAAAAAGCTTCTGAAGTTTGTTGCATAAACTTGTGCCTCGGAAACTGGATAGATCTAACAACCTTGTTTTCCCAAAAATAAGACCAGGTTGATATAAATTTGTGCGCCAAATGACACCTGGGATTTATTTATTTTCAAAAGATGTCAGATTTTTTATGTTACAATCCCTTTCGATGATGAATACTGAAATTGTTAAAGATCCGAACATCAACGAAGATTGGCTAATAAACAGCACCTTATTTCGGAAGCTGAAATATTTTAGTCATATCAAGGGCCACGACGGATTGGCAAAAATTATAGCAGAAGGCATGGTACCAGGAAAGAGGGGCAGGGGGTCGACCAACACGAAGATAGGCACAGGTGGGAGAGCCGGTGGGAGACCAAATTTCCTTCAGGCAGACTGTGATGAGAGCGATGTTCTGTGAAGGACCTGCTACATGATGATGATTTATATTTTATCATTTATGTAAAGCATGAATGTCAGTATTGGTTTTTTTCATTTATTTATACATTCATTTCTTTATAATTCAGTGAACGAATAAAATCTGTCCTTCTGGCTGATAATCTTAACTGTGGCTCATATTTGGGGTAGAAATTATATTATGAACATTCTGATAAAGCA